GGGGGGAAAACCCAATCTCATCCCCGTCCCCGTCCCTGTCCCTGACTTGCCGAAACCCATCGAAATTCCCCGAAGGTGTAACTCTTGAACTAGAGTCAGCAGGACCTTGAAAACATGATTTTTTGATGGAAAAGCGTAGAAATAAGTGATCTTTAGGCCAGAAAAGCAGTAACTGCGAAGGCACAATGCAATTCTAAATGCAAAATTTTATTCAACCACATGAGAAAATAGAGAATAATAGCAAAATTTCTTTGACAAAAACAAAAGAGAATACACGCTCTACTCCTGCAGCTTTCTACTACACTCACCTATGCGGACGTATTACGTGCCACTATGCAGCTCTCGAAATCCTTTTGAATGGAACAATTCCGCTCACTTCAACAATGAATTCTCACTATGAGTGATCTCAGTGAGAATTTATGTACATCTCGATCGAATGAAAATGATTCCAAATAGCGAAGTAAAGAGACTTGCAGTCTTTACAACATGTAGTTCAATTAACCAATGGAATATTGAAGCCGAAAAAATCGCGTGGAATGAAACAACTCAAAATTTGGTTGAATTTTGTTGCTCTTGGTTCTCAGTAGGAAATGTGATTATCTCCACTAGTCTACATAGAAATGCATCCAGATGAGCGTGACATAAACTAATGAAGGGCAGAATAATCAGTTGAATGTTTAATGAAAGCTCATCAAGCTGTTGTTGATCATGCCATTCGTCTGACTTCCATCAATTTCATTGACTATTCATCAATGATAGGTGGCAAACAAAGAAGATGACTGTATATGAATGAGCTGGTAATGATTAAGGCTTGCTTCAACATGGACGTACTAACAAAATTCATACAAACTTACCTGCTTTATCAAATCCGAAAAATTTATATCCCGGGATCGTAATCAGAACTGAAATCCCGAGACTCCCTCTAAGCCCTAGCTGAGACAGGATGATAGTGGGGCCTTAAAGGCAAACATGCGAGCAATGATCGAATATTCAACTTCGAATTGCTCGCATGGGCGCGGCATATTCGAACTTAATTTTCTTCCGGGGAGTATCGAGGAGCCTCCCCGAAATTTCGGGGAGAGCTGACAATTCCGGAGAGGTCAGGGATGGGGAGAGTCAGGGATATTTCGGGGACAGAGAGAGTCTCCGAAAATGACCGCCTCTCGAGAATAGTCGGAGACGGAGATGGGGACGGGGATTCAGGGACAGGGACCCCGAATTCGGAGACTTCCAGCACAACACTATTATGTACCACTTATAGTTTCGTTTCCCTCAATAAGATTTCCATAATACAGTAACCTCATCGTCAGTAAATCTTGATCACCAACCTCGCTGTTTTCGTTGCTTCACGAGAGGACTTCTGGGAAGAACTTCCGCAAGGGATTCAGCTCGAAGTTGACTCTGAAGTGGCGTTTACACCCCACAATGCGTGCATAACCCTCTCCATCAGTTCCATCAAGCTCCTCTCAACATCCCAAAAACTTATCCTCGATCTCCCAAAAATTCACCCTCTCCCTCTGACTCTCTGACCATTTTCGCGAAGTAGCCCGATTGAATTTTTCTCGGATAAAATTAAATTTTACTCGATTCGATGTTTTCATAAAGATTGCATTGTGTTTTCTGGACTGTTTCATTTAATTTCAGCGTGACGATACAGAATGGATGTACACGAGGACAAAAAACCTAGTGTGTCAAAGAAGGGATATACTCCATCAGGTGCGAATGCTGAAATAAGCGACAAGGTTAGTCACTTCCTTCATTCAATCAGTTAATTCTGTCCTGTCTACGACGAACTCTCAACACTAGTGCACTTCATGATTTCAAATCTGAAGTTGGTAATCCCTGACAATGCTCATGCATGGAAATAAGTGAATATTTCGATAGGAGGTGAATAAGATCGCGAATGAGTTAATACGATCGGTCAGCACGGTGGATGAACTGAAAAAGAAAGTACAGCAAATGTGCCGTGAAGGTAAATTAGGTGGACATCAAGGTGGTATGATCATTCGGCGATGGAGGGTTCACGAGCGCCAAAAGAGTCATCTGCAAAAAGTAAAATAAGTCTGAATTCATAGCTCATCTTTGTGCGGTATTCGTTTTCCGTTATTTTAACCGTTTTGTATAATTTTCACATCCTGATTTTGACTTACTTTCCATTGAAAGTTGTTTGAACACATTATAAATTCGTTTGAAATCTCACAGTTTTTCATCGTTTAGAAAGATGTCATGTTGAACGAGATATCAAAAAGTTTGGAAGCGACAAAGGGACTGAATTTTGAAGATGTGAAAAAAATGGTTAACGATTATGTGCAGGAAGGTAAAATAACACATCGCGATGCTGGATTCGTTATCTCAAATTGGAAGCGAAGCGAATTTCGCCGTGTTAAGCGGCAGGTAATCAAGCAGGATGTAAAGGTTAATAAATTGATTCAACTCATTTGAAAGATTGATTGATTCAATCGATCCGCAGTGATCACTCATCTGTAAACCGTAATTTTAGGAGCATTCATTGAGGCATTTTAACGGGAATGACAATTCGATTCATTTAATACCGGATTATTTGACGAAAGAGAATTGTTTCAGCGATGTTTATTCTGCCGTGAAAAAGGGCATCTGTTATCACAATGTCCCAACAAAGATGAACAGACGATGGGTACCGGTATTTGTTTCAAATGTGGTTCGTCGGAGCATACCTCATCCAAATGCCCTCGTAAAAACGTGAAAGGTATCCGTTTCCTCGTTGTTTTAAACTCTTCTGAGTTCGTTCACTGACAGTCTAGATAATGATATTTCAAAAAAGAAGATTAATGATCATCGCTCGCAAATTGAATGGCAATAAATTTTTGAATTATTTCTACTTACAGGATATCCGTATGCAGTTTGTTTCGTTTGTAAGCAGCAAGGTCACTTATCGCGTGATTGCGACAAAAATCCCAATGGGATATATCCAGATGGTAAATGAGTTGTTCTATTATTGAGCTTCTTTTGTCCACTTTTCTATGTCCTAATATGATAAAGTTTATTTTTTGCCCAGATATGGGAAGATAACCCCTAACAGCATTTAGCATTGAATGTTTTCTTACTTGTAGGTGGTTCATGTGATATATGTGGTTCACAAAAGCATCTCAAAAAAGACTGTCCTGAGCTGAAAGCAACAACAAAGGATACCAAGAAAAGAGGTAATTATCGCACGAAGTGCTTCTTCGTTCTGAGTCGTTAAGTTTTCCGATGAAATGACGAATGAGAAACAACATAAACGATTCTGCTTTCCACGAAGTTGATTGGGATCGGAAAAGATTTACAGCGATCAGTATCAGTATCTAAATGAATATTTTCAGATGTTTTGGCAGCGCGTGGCACTGCGATGAGTGGAGGCGATGAAGATATTGCTGTGGAAGGTGACAAAGTTGATTCAGGATCTTCAGATGAACCAAAGAGACAAAAGTTGAAGAAGAAGAAAATTATACGATTTTGAATGTTTTAAATGGAACGTCTTTATGTTATTTCAATATGAATGCACTTATTTGAATGTTATACGTTTTAAGATTGATCTTTGTCTGTAGAAAATAGATTTTCTAATTCAATGCTGTTAGGGGTTATCTTCCCAGATATGGGAATAATCCCAGTGGGATATATCCAGATGGTAAATAAGTTGTTCTATTGAAAGAAATGAGTTGTTCAGTAATAATTCAAAGATGACAATTCAGTTATGGTTGAATGAATTTCGATTATGCTTCTTGATGCCACATTCTGTGAATCTGCATTCATTTCGAACTTGCGATATACATCGCGTTGTTATTATTTTCATTGTTATCCCTCAACACTGAATTTTGTTTGCAAGTTCATTCTGTTGTTCATTGTTATGAACTGCTCCATATTGTCGCAAATTTTTATTGTTACTAAAATAAAATAAATAAAGTTACTGACTATGAGTCATCAAAAACGAGTATTCAAAGCTTTTGCGAGTGCGTCTCGTTCCATTTCCAGTTTTCGATATTCACCCAAAACAATCTCTTTCAAGTCGTCGCTTTTAGCTAGTTTCTCTTTCAGATCTTTTATGATGTCCATATTTCGCTGAAAAGAAACTATTTTTGTTCACATCGGTCAGTGTGACATCCACCATGAAGAAAACAGTATGGGAAATTGCCTCTGATAGAATGCAATTTCGTTAGGGAATGGTCACTGACTGAGGTGTGCATCAGTCATGGAGTCAGTAACTCACAATTTTGAATTTGTTGCTGAAGACAACAAAACACGATTTACAAGAAGTTGAAAAGAAAGGACTGCAGAAAACCGTTTAACTTTTAATCGTTTTGCAGAAAACTGTTAATATCGAAGTTACTATGGAATGAAGTAGTAATGCTGGTGAATAGTTCAAATGCGCATACATAGCGATTGGCAGATTGAACTCGTCTCCATTGCAGTTCACTGCTCAATGCTTCATTTTCTTTACGCAATGCACGAACTTCGGATTCGTATTTGATGTGATCATCTTTCAAACCGTTCACCTCATCTTCGAGGGCGCCAACTCTCTGATTCAATCGTTGACCTTCTCTCTGAAGCGCAGAATTTAGTAAAAATACAACAAAAGTTTCATGGTAAAGACGAGATTTTAAAGGTATTCGAATGCTTTTTTGGGGATTCCGAGTCTCTAAGAATGTCACCACACTTAAGTGATAGAGAGGTGAAAAAAAATTACTCAATGATAAATTTTATAGAGGAACAATCATCTGAAATATTCTGCGAACATTTCATCACTGAAATATTGTCGTTTCATGTTTGAAGTGAACTGTATGGTTATCTTAGCACATTATAATTCAAATTGAGCAAATGAGAAGTTGATCTGCAAGAGGAATCAACTGATGAAGAACGCTTGAATCAACGTTCTGTTTTCGTTCGTTCATTGGACGATATCAACGAAATTCGATAAAAGAAATGATGGAACATTTCTTTTATACAAATGACACACTGAAATCCGTTTATCTTATTTATTCATTTGACCAAAATTTCACTTATACTCCAACTTCAACTTTAATGGTATCGTCTCGATGGTGCAACTGACCTGCATTCGACATTCAAGTTCAGCATTGAGTTCCTTTTCGGCCAAAAATTTAGCATTGATGGCACTAAGCTTTTGACGATGAGACGAGCTTAGTTCTTCGAAATCTCGCAACTTTTCGCCTCGTAACTTGCCAATCTCAAATTCGAAATAACTTCAGTTTGTTCCGAACTTACTCCACCAATCAACCCAACGTTAGTATTCAGTAGCCGTGATAATTTCAATTTTAATTTTATAACTTCATTTCTTAATTTATTCAGAAACATGCATCTCGTTCTTCATATTTTTCAGTGACCAAGGCCACATTCTCATCTCATCGCATTCATAATGAATGTAGTAAATCAAAAATGAAATGTTTACTAAATGAAATCAAAAAAATATGGAATAAAAGTGTTCAAAAGTTGAACGAATGAAAAGTTTGTGAGGAATGGAATACAGCTCACTTCTATGAGATGTTCGTCTTTCAGTCGTTGTTCCAACTCGAGCAACGCTCTTCGATGTTCAGCTCTGTCCACAGATCTCTCATGGATAATCTGTTGGATGAATTCAACTAACTCTCGATCGTCCTTCTTCACAACATCCATCACATACTCCCTGTTGAGTTCTTCCACAGTCTGCACACCTTCACTTCTTCTATCTTCTGTTTCCAGAATCGGATCTGTTTGTGTCGATGCTACGCAGTACGTTCGTGTATTCAGCAAAAGCATTCGAATTTGCTTTTTCAATAGCTGAAACGCAATTCGTATGGACTGTTCATATGGAGAGTTTGTTATGGCTTGATATGGAGCTGTGATGACATGAACCGAACGGAATTTGCATTCATTCGGAACTTGACCGAATCGACTGTTCATGATTTCCAAACAAGGTATTTCGACCGCATTTCAAAAATTTCGGTCGTAATCCGACTGAATACATTTTGTGAGATTCATAAATTCGGTATTCCGACTGAATTTGAAGACTCTTCGGTTAAACTCCGAATTTCAGAATCCAATCGGATTCCATTAGATTCTATTTTACTCGAAATCCTAATGATATGCTCGTGGATTTGTTCAGTGATAAGCAATGAATTTATTACAGCAAGCTGTCGTGCGTGTGCTGTAGCCGCGTTATGATATCGCTTTTGGACGGCAATACTGAAATCCTTTTCCTTGATCAGATTGCACTTAGCCGTCGTCCAGAATTGCTGTAAACGATCGCGTTCCATCTCCACCAAACCCACTCGCTTTTTCAGCTCATCGATTTCCAAACACAACGCATCTTTTCTCTCTTTCAGCTGCATCAACCGTTTGATCGTCATTAAAAGTTTTCTTCAAATATGCCATTCAAATGTGTGAGTAATTTTCAGATTGTTCGGCAAGTAAGCTTTCGGCAGGGAACCATCGTTGACTAGTGTTCGTCGGGAAGCAGTTTTTCGCACGGGGGAGGGGGGGGG